GGGTGCTTGTCTGCCAGGAGGCTTCAGGGTTCCAGGCCCCTTGGACCTGAACAGGCCTGTCCTGTGCCCCAGTGACAGAGGTGTAGAGGGTGGGAGCCCCCCCACCGTGGCGCTGCCCATGCCCCACCAGGGCCCGTGTACTTTGTGGAACCTGCTCCATTTCTGATTGCCAGGCTGTCGTGCTGGGCTCCAGGCTGAAGTTGCAGCCAGCACTTGATGTTGAAAAGGTAAGTGTCTTTCTCATGTGAGTTTCGTAGGTCCCAACGTGGATGAAGCCCAGGTCTCCAGAAACATGGTCTGGAGGTGGAGGGTCTTGTACCACTGAGCCCTGGCCTCTGCTGTTCACAGGGTGGGGCTGGGGTGCTAGAGGGCAAGGGTCGCATGTGACCACCTGACCCTACTCGGAGGGCCCAAGGGGCGTGCCCAGGAGGGCAGTCATTGGGCTCAGGTGTGGTATGCTCCGAAAGTGGTGGCCAGAGGGCCTCTTGGGAATGGAGCTCTCCGTGAGGACCACCCCCATGGTTCCAGCCTGGCTGATGGGACCCCATCCAGTCTGGGCTCCAGGCAGCCTGACCTATGTGGTCACATGGAGAGGAAAGGAGGTGAGGTGGGGTCTAGTGTAGGGACCACTAGAAGGGGGCTTTGTTGAGGCCTGACTTTTGCGGTGGAAACGGCCCGAGTGTCCAAAGGGCCAGTGCCACCGTCAGGGGCTGCCTCCAAGGTTCCCTGAGGGCTCAGCTTGGGGCTCTCATGGGCTCATGCACTCACGGGCACTAGGAGTAGGCATGCCATCTGTGCCAACGAGGAGGCATTTCTGGGCCATCGGGCTACTGCCCACGTTGGCCTCCCTCCTGCCCCCCGCCCCCAGTTCAGTGAAGACAGGAGAAACAGCTTCCCCTGGTTCCCCTTGCCTCTTGGGGCCTCCAGGCCTTTGTAATGGAGATGAAAATGACCACAGAGCCCAGGCTGAGCCCCAGGGAGCTGTGGGGCCTGCATGTGTGGGGGCGAGATGCTCAAGCGCAGGGCATGGGCTGGGCTGCCTGCATCGTGCCCCAGGAGCCACTATGGGGCACTCACACTCTTGGATGGGTTGGAGGTGAGTCTGGGGTCTCAGCTGGGGGTGGAAGTGCCAGGTGCCCACAGGGCTGTGGCCTGAGGACGTGCTTCCCCGCAGATGTGCACCCCACTGCTCCTCCAGGACAGAGTGAGCCTCGTGGAGCGTTATGTGGCCGGCTTCCCGGACCTCCAGAGGAAGCTGCTGGGCCTCCTGGACTCCTGGTGCCGGCCCGGCTTTGACATCGGAGTTGTTGCCAGGTGAGCCCTACGGGGGCCCAGGGTGGGGTGAGGGGGGCAAGCACAGGGGAAGGCCACACGCATGGCCCCCACAAGTCGCAACCGGGTCGGCCAGCGAGGGGCCACGCCTGCCAGGGACCAGATGAGAGACGGTTACCACCCTCGAGCGAACAAAAACAATCCTCCGCATCAGGTGGATGACTTCTTACCTGGTTCCGGAAGTCACGCTGCTTATCCATTCACTCATTCCTTCATCCCTTCGCGGGATAAATCTCCAGGGATGGGTGTGGAGCCCATGTGGATAGCCCACGTGCCTGTATATGTGACGTGAGGGTGTCGCCTGGGTGTGGGGCACGGGGGTGGCATCTGGCGGGAGAACATCTTCTTGCCACGCGTGTTGAGGGGGGCACGGGGGCAGCAGCTCCTGGAGGTCTGTGAAGGCTCCTTGGGCCACCCGCCCATCCGCAGGTAGGAGTGGCTTGATCCTGGCTCCACGAACTACCCAGCCCTGGGACCCCCCGGCTGGAGATCCAGACCTTGGGCTCTGGGGCAGACCTCCCTGGACCTATGAGCAAGTCACTTCACTCTCTGGGTTTCTTTCCTTGTCCCTAAAACTGGACTGATTTTGCCTGTCTCAAGGGTTGTGTGACTTAAATGCTGGGAAGCAGGGATTTGAAAAGTGACAGAGTGGCGCCCAGCTGGCCCAGTCAATGAAGCATGCGACTCTTGATCCCGGGGCCATGAGTTTGAGCCCCACGTTCGGCATGGAGATTACTAAAAAAAAAGTGGCTTGAACAATAAACAATGACTTTAAAAAAAGGGTGGGGGGACACAGAGCAAATGAGTGAACATACTGTGGGGCCAGGGGCCAGAGTCCCATGTGGAGAAGGGACATACGTGGATGGACAGTGGGACGGTGAGGAAGGCCCTGTGTGGCTGGATTTAGCTGAGGATATTGGTTTAAATCAATGATTTTTTAAAAATTTCCTGGGTCTTAAGACACCTGGGTGGCTCAGTCCAACTCTAGATCTCGGCTCAGGTCGTGATCTCACGGTTCATGACTTTGAGCCCCACATTGGGGTCTGTGCTGACAGCTTGGAGCCTGCTTGGGATTCCCTCCCTCCCTCCCTCCCTCCCTCCCACCATTCTTCTTTCTCTCTTATAAATAAATAAATAAACAAACAAACAAACTTAAAACGAATAGTTTAGAAAAAATTTTCCTAGGGCCTAGAGAAAGGGAGGGAGAGAGAGACAGAGAGAGAGAGAGGGAGAGGGAGAGAGAGAAAGAATAACAAGCAGGTTTGGCACCATCAGCACAGAGTCCGATGTGGGGCTTTAGCTCACGAACCGTGATCATGACGAGCTGAGATCAAGAGTCAGATGCTTAACCGACTGAGCCCCCAGGCGCCCCTATAAACGCTAGGTTTTAAAAAGTGCTCTGGCTGATAAATACAAGCATTTATTATTGTATCTCTGTCCCCAAATGAAGAAGACATTTTAAGAGAAGGAGAGGCAGCGACAGCAGGGGGTCCAAGAGCTGGTGGTCAGGTAGAGCACTTAGGCTGGGAAGCTGACCTGTGGCCGCCAGGAGCATGTGGGGTCCAACACAGAGCCCGAGGAGGGCCCTCAGCAGTCAGCCGGTCCTTGGGGACCCTGGGCCGAGGTGTCTGCAGAACACAGAACAGAACTCTTTGCAATCAACAATTTAACAGCAAAGTGAAAAGCACAATAGAAGTTTGGAAGATAAATTTGAAGATGTCTTCGAAAAAGTACAAAACAGATAAACAGTATGAAAATCAGAGAGAAAAGGTTAAAAGAAAAAGTAGAGATCTTGTCAAGAAGGCCCGACATCCAAGTAACGGGAACCCCGGTCCCGAGGCGCCCGGCTTAGCGGGTCTGCGGGGCGGCCTGCATGGGTGAGACGCATACTGCAGACCCCAGGAAGAGCAGGGATCAGGCGGGATTCCAGGAGCATCGCCTGCCCGGACCCCAAGGTCTCGGCTCAGCCGAACCCTCAAGCCGGCGCGGGGCAGAGCTCAAGCGCACACCAGCTCTAGCAACTTCTGCGGGTGTGTGCTGAGCTGTCAGCTGGGGGAGTGAGGAGGTGTGTCCACCGAGTTGTGGGCACAGGGCGAGGCAGGCGGGGGGCCTGGGTCAGCAACCTCAGCAGACAGGTATTAACCCTGAAGAGAACAGGAGGGTGTGGCCTGGCCACTGACAGTGTTCGCCTGGTCGTCTGGTCATGATATGGCAGACACGGTGTCCTGACCCTACGTAAGGGCTTGGATACTGTGTGGGGAGGGAGGCTGGAGAGCCTTCCGTGGTGAGATGTCCAGACCAAACTCCTAAAACTGAATAACCAAGAGATCCCGTACAAGTATGTCGCTTGTAAGCACAGAGACAAATACGAAACACGACAAAAGTGATGTGTGTGTCTGGTGTGCAGTGGGGCAGGGTGACAGGGTGACTGCTCTCTCCATAAACCTTGTAGAACTACCTGAGTTTTAAACTGTGTGTGTGTGACTTAGATGAAAACAAAAGTCTTAAAGCAGTGCCAGACAGGAGCTGTGTTTCTCTCCCCTGCAGGCAGCACCCACAGGTGACCTCGAGGCTGGAGAGGCTGAGTCCCAGAGTGCTAAGTCGGCGGGTCCTGAGCCAGCTGGAGCGGCTGGGCCTGGACCCGGGTGAGTGCCGCCCCCACAACCTGTGCGCGCCCGGCGGATGCGGGGTTCAGGCTGACCAGGGTCCACCGACCTCCCCCCCCCTTCCTGCCGCCTGCCCATCGCAGGCCCTGGACAGAGCAGCAGCCTGAGGCCCGCAAGCCCCTTTGCCCACCTGCGTAGACTCCTGGGAGGCGGGGCCTTGCTGCACCCCGCCCCCTCCCTGCCCCCGCCCCTTCTTGTCGTTCTTGTCTTTTCGTCCAGTGATGGCTGATGTCCGTTCTAGCACACGTGAGGTGGTATCTCATCATAATTTGGAGTTTCATTTCCCTGATGATTAGTGGTACCTTGGACCATTTCATTCATTCAACACCTGTTTGGATGTCTTCTTTGGAAAACATCCATTCGGTTCCTCTGCTCGTTTTTAAATATGGTTATTTGGGATTTTTGGCTATTGAATTGCATGGGTTCCTTCTATATTTTGAACGTTAGCCTCTTGTCAGATGCGTGGTTTGCAAATATCTCCTTCCACTCTGTAGGTTGCCTCTTCATTCTGTCGACTGTTTCTTTGCTGTACAGAAGCTAATCTTTAGTTTGATGTAAGGCCACTTGTTGGTGGCTTTTGGCTTTTTGGCCCTCTTTGTTCGTTGCCCTCCCCAGCCCACCAAACTAGATTTTAAACCTTCTTGCTTCTTAAAATATTCCTCAAGTTTCAACATATATTAGTTCTATTATTGTCCAGCTTAAGATATTTTCTAATTTTTATTATAATTTTTTCTTTACCCATGGGCTAATTAGAAATGTATTTCTTCTTCTGTTTTTAATGTTTATTTATTTATTTTTAAATTTTTTTAATGTTTATTTATTTTTGAGACAGAGAGAGACAGAGCATGAACAGGGGAGGGGCAGAGAGAGAGGGAGACACGGAATCTGAAACAGGCTCCAGGCTCTGAGCTGCCAGCACAGAGCCCGACGCAGGGCTCGAACTCACGGACCGTGAGATCATGACCTGAGCCGAAGTCGGACGCTTAACCGACCAAGCCACCCAGGCGCCCCTAATGTTTATTTATTTTTGAGAGAGAGAGAGCTAGTAAGGGAGGGACAGAGAGAGAAGGAGACAGAGGATGTGTCCTGACAGCAGAGAGCAGGATGCAAGGCTCGAATTCACTCATGGTGAGATCGTGACCTGAGCCGAAGTCAGACACATAACTGACTGAGCCACCCGGGCGCCCCTAGAACTGTACTTCTTAATTTCAAAGCTATGTGGCACTTTTAGTTACCTTTCTAGTGTGGGCTCTTAATCTCGTCATGATCAAAGATCATGCTTGGTATGATGTCAGTCCTTTGGGTTGAAATGTGTTGTTATGAAGAAATCTAATTTCTTTTCTCTGAAAGCAATCTCTCTCTCTCTCTCTCTCCTCTGTCTTTGATGTTCTGCAGTCTCACTGTGAGGAGAGTGGTTATAGATCTCTTTGTATTTATCTGGCTTGGTTTTTGTTGGGCTTTTTAAATCTGTGGATTGCTGTCTTCACTTGGTTCTGGAAAATTGTAAGTCACCATGTCCTCAGATGTTGCTGTTGGTTCTCCGGCCCCGTGTGTGATCTTGTCACCCTGCCTTCCCTGCGGTGTTACTGTCCTGTGTCTCGCTCATGATGAGCTCGGGCAACTCCTGCTCTTTTCCGCATCACTAATTTTCTCCTCTGTGTCCAAAAAACTACAAAACACTGCATTTTGATCGTTGTACCTGTGGCTCCAGAAGTCATACTTTGGTTCTTTTCCAGATCTGCTCTTCCGCTTTGTGTGGTTTCTTGGTACTGGAACATATTTCCAGTTTTGTCTTTTTTCCCTTCGAATGTCTTGCTCACAGGTGTCTTATGGTCTGTGTCCAAGTTTCAGCCCCATCTCTGGTCAGCATCTGGTTTCTGTCTCAGTCACCTGCAGGCTTCTCTGTCCTCACACCCTTGAGAAATTATGCAGATCTCCTGGCCCTGGACAAATGTGCCTCCGGAAGGCAGTATTGCCTCCAGAAAGGAGGGCGATACTAGGGGCTTTTGCAGACGGAAACACATCACCAAGCGGTTTTGATGTGTGATTGTCCACGGCCCCCCCAGGTGACACTAGGTGAAGAGATGGGAGGACCAAGAAGTGGTCGCCTGGAGGCTGGTGGTGCGGTCAGTCTGGGTCAGTTAGGGACAAAGAGCTGCTGGCTGTGCTGACGGTAGCTGGGGGGCCTCTGCCCGAAGCAGCCGAGGCAGGTCTAGGAGGACCGGCCGGCTGCTGGGACCCCTGGGGCGCCAGGGGACACAGCCCTAGGAAGGAGCCACCCTCAGGCTGCAGAAGAAGACCAAAAGAAGGGCTGTAGGTGCAGAAGCTCCAAGGAGGGTCCCGGCAGCACAGACCCCTGGGGGTGCTGGGGTCTGAGGGACCGGGAGGTCTGGGGTGCAGTTGCAGGACTGGAGCGCTAAGGAGTGGACCCCCCATGGGGATCCCCGTCCCTGGCAGGGGGGCCTCTGAGGTCACCTGCATGCCTGTCCTGGGCGCTGTGTCGGGGAGCCCTGCTGGCGTCCCTCAGGGTGCACACGGGGTGAGGGACACGGGCCCGAGAGGCTCTCAGCACGGAATCACTCATAGGGTCGATGCTGGCTGCTGTGGGGGGCCGCGCCTGCCGCCTCGGCAGAGGCTCTCCCCACCCGGGACTCAGGCCCCTGTGGGGCAGGGCGGGGGTGGGGCGTGAGGCCCACAGGGCCGGGGTGGTGGGCAGGCTGTGTGGGAGACCACAGCTGGGTCTGAGGTGCAGGCCTTCCCCCCCCGCCCCCCCCAGCAGCCCTGCCATGACATTCACTGGCCCACAGGGCCCACACTTCTGGGTCGGGTCGTGGCCACAGTGGGCCCAGGGCTTGGGGCCAGAGGGGTCTTTGGGGTCTTGGACCAACCTTAGCCTGGCGCCCCCCGCAGTTCAGGATGTGCCCCCCTTGGATGTCTATCCCCTCCCCACAGGTCTCAGCTGAATCTGGCACTGGAACAGGTTAGGTGCCTAGGCACCCCTACATAGTGGGGACTCCCCCCGACTATGTGCCGAGTCACATAGTCACACACAGTGGGGGGCCGCTGGACAAGAGGGCGGGGTAGACAAGCCAGTGCTTTCCGTGGGCGCCTCGCTCGTTGGCCTGCTGGGGGCAGGGAGGACAGATCCCCTCCGGGTCTCCTGTTCCGCATGACCGCCCGCTGCCAGGCCCCATCTGCTGCTTCCCCAGCGGGGTCTGTCTTAGCCAGGAGGCCTCAGGGTCACAGCTGCGGTCACGGTCCCTTTGCCCCTCTGCAGTCCATCCGCATGTCCACCGTCACAGCTGTGGCCTCCACAGGACCGACCCCATGTCCTCCGTGGGCTGACGTTAGACGCAGAAGGAGGGTTGGGGACTTCTGTTTGCCTCTCCAGCCTGAGCTCCCCACTAGCCCACCCCTCCCCAGGCCTGGGTCCCGGGTGGAGCCCCCCAAGGTGTCCTTGCGCGGATGAACCGGCAGGCTGCAGTGTGCGTCGTATTTGGGTTTTGTGGTATCTGCAGGTGCTCAGGGGTGTGGCAGGCGGTTGGGCCTGGCTCAGCTGTGCCCGCCCCTTTAAGGGTTTGTGCTGCGTCTGGACCAGCCAGTCAGCCCAGGCTGCACCAGAATCTATCTGTGGACACGATACCCGATACCGTATCCACAAGGCTTTTGGACAAAGTTTCCCACCGGCAAAATGATGCTTCAAATTGTGTAAATGTCGGAAAAGCCAGTCTCTGTCTGCAGATGCCTCTGCAAGGACACATGGTTACTTTGTGTCCTGACAGAGCCTGCAGAAATTCACTTCTTTCCTTCTTTCCTTGAGTAGCTCACTCATTCGTCCCCCCCCCCCCCTTCCTCAGGCCTTGTCCACCTCACTCGGAAGTGTTGTCCCAGGTTCCTTAGCAGCCTCCTGGGGTCTGGAACCCTCACAGCCTGGGCAGGAAGGAGGAGGGGGTGCCCCGTCACCTGTCTGAGGAGTCGCTGGCCCTCCCTTGCAGGCCCCAACCTCTGGGCAGCACTGACCTCCGCTGTGGTTGGACAGCGACCCTGTAACAGGGCGCTCCCCAGTGCTGGGAGTGGGGTGCTGCGGGCGCAACCACACTTCCGGAGGGTGCAGGGCCCTGAGAAGGCCAGGCCGCCACTGGGAGGGGCAGGGTTCTGTGGGCAGCATCCCCTGCGCACTGCCAGGCTTCGAGGACAGCTGGCCCCAAGAGGGAGGACCAGCATCAGAAGGCGGGGCGGGTGGATGGGTGGGTGGG